TAAAAAATTTATGAATAAACTTGTAAAAAAAACTAGTATTGTTGTTTTGTATGTTCAAATAAAAACATATGAATGAGCGAAAAAAAAAACTTATTAAAAACTGATTCCATGTCATGAGAATGATCATAAAACTAATTTGAAGGGAAAGTTTAATCAATTTGTATTGTGAATGATCATTCATAAAATCTACTCCATGTTTATTCCTAACGCCTACACACATTACAATGGTAAAAGGGGTGTTAAGCAAGTTTATCAAGTAGTGAACAGTGTTAACAACATTCATTCATGTACTTTACGTTTAGACTAAACTATTGACAACAGTACGACTTAAAATGACAATATATGTAGTATATGAAATTAGATAGGTTTACAATGTGAAAATTTGTTTACAAATGAGAAATATAGTTTGATTTATTTGTTTCACCATTTCAAAAATGAATTTTTCATTGGAAATAATTAAAGCCCTACGTTTTATCAGATAGAATAATTATTGTGAAAAAGTGGTGATGTTTGGTACTGTGATAGAGAAAATATATTCAATACTTATTTTATATTACAATGATTGTTGATTACACTGACAACTAATCAAATGGATTGACTAAAGTTATTATAATGTAAAAGGTGTTGTACAGTAGTTAGTGTAAAGATAATTTCACTGTGAACTAACATACGTTCATGAGTTATTAAAATTAAACAGTACTGTATTATGTTGGTTTGAGACTTGAAAAGAATGTTCAGTCAAGATACTGTCGTGGATTAAATGTGAACCTCCTAATTTTTTAATGGTAACCCCGATATTTGTAGTAGTATTGTTACAGAGATTAAGTGGAATTTGAAAGTCAGTTTTCGCTCCCTTAATTAACATCAGATAGAGGATTAAATTAACCACAGAGTAAGAATTAGTTCTGTAACAGATTATATTGTATATCATCAAAATTTTTACAATGTTTACTTTTCATAACGATGGTGGATTTAGTTAGAGAACAACCAAAATACTGACTGTGACACTTTAATATAGTGGAAAATGATTTATATGAGAATACAATCTCAATAGTTGATTTCACTGATACTACTACTATACTCACTACTTTTAGTTGTTTGTATGCATGAAATTTAAC